TAGGTCTGACATTCCGTAACGGCAAAACACTCCCAGTCAGTGTGAAGCTAATAATTTACAATTCCTTATTCCATTCTCATCTTAGTTACTGCATAAAATCAGAAAAAAGGAAACATAAATCGTTGTCAACTCTAGCGGCATGACACCAAATCTACACGTTCACTTAACTAGACACATGGAGTATTGGAAGGTTGTCTACTGTTCTACTAACTATGGTACGCAAATGTTGCGATATAGCATACAGAAACAGTTAAATTGCCTTCTAGAAAAAAGAAATGGGCATTGACACTATCTCCTTCAAGGCTTTGCGTTCTCTTTATAAGTAGGAGTGATTTACCTCCCCCACTCAAATGATTCTCTAAAGTTGGTTATGATATTCAGAATGTACTCTTTTGTGTTTTTGGGATTCCTGTCTACAACGAGTGTGCATGTCACCTGTTTAGGTGATTAATGACTGTTTTGTAATCTTATGCACATTTTTTGCTGCAATGCCAATGTACGGGGCCGAGGGCTGGTCAAGCCTTCTTTGAGGCTTTTACTCTTTGCTCTACCATGCTTCATGAAAAAATAAACTATTATTAATATTATTATTATATTATAATAATAATATAATAATAATAAGAATAATAATAAGAAGAAGAAGAAGAAGAAGAAGTCCCCGAGAGCTGTGTTTCTTTTCGATCGCTTTTCAAATTTCTATCAGTTATTCATAATATTTCAAGCTCATCAACAGCCTGCAGGCAATTTGCTACAGACGGCAAGTCCTGGCGCCAACACAACCAAGTCACCATCGTCATTCATTGGACGCTTGCTCCGGGCGAGCTTTCGCACCATAACCGTACCTACCCAGGCAGCACACAATATTAAGGCGATATTCGCCTCGGGTCGGGAAGGTCGTGCGAGTACTGCCGATTTTTCCGTTGTATCGGGAAAATTGTGCTGGTACTATTTTGATTATGCTCATGTCGACAGAATATCTGTTATATTGCGGCGACGCAACCATGATATGTATGGTACACGAACCGTGCTTTTCCCTGAATATCGTTTCTGAATCGGCAAGAACTGCGCAGTATTAGGCATTTTTGGCCGTATTCGAGAATGATATTGAAAGAAAGCCGGTACCATTTTCACCCGGCCGATGTCCATAGAATCTTTGTTATATTGTACCGACGCAAACCGGGTAACCACGATTGCACGAATATTTTTTTTCCTCCAAAAAAGATAAGTTGGATGGGGAGAGGAGAGAGACGGGACGACACGAGCGAGAGAGAAGGCATAATAAGAGGGAGACTGAACCCAAACTTTTTAGTTCAACCTCACGTGACCAGACTCGCTGGCGCCTTGGAAAGCCAACTTGGAAAGAAGAGGGAGAGAGACAGTTGTGACGTACCCGTCTCTTCGGTTAATCCTTCGAAATAGGGCGCTCGGGCCCAAAGCAGGATCCGGTTAGGTGCGCGCGCGCAGGTGTGTGGGTGTGCGTGCGTGTTTCAAGGAGCGAGAGGCAACGGGCGGTGACTCATGGCGATCGCGACATAGTTCGGACAAATATTTGGTTCGGAGAAGGCGCCCCCCCATCCCCCCCCCCCCCCCCCATTTTGGACGTGACAATCTACTGGCCTCCTCCCCCTCACCACGAGCATGAGGAGGACCACGTTGCCCAAGCAAACAGAAACAAAAACGGGCGAGGGACATTTCAGCAGAGCATCCGACTGGAAGGAATTCTCCCCACCTTTTCTGCAGCGGAAATGGACGACCCCTGAGGGGAACGAAAAGGAAGGAGGAACGGGGCCAGGTGCTGGGCGTACTGGACGGTGCGGAGACCAGGACGCAGATTTTTCCTTGGGCGGGACGTCGTGGAGGCAGCGAGACATCGACGGACTGAGGGGATATTGAGGAAAGGATGATTGCAAACGCCGTGGGAACTCGACGCGGCTTCTCCGAGACGACCAGATCCGCGAGTGCTTGCCGGGTAGTTTCCTTTTTTTTTTTTGTTCGCTTGATACTACGCCAGTTCTGCGGATTAGGGGAACAAGTCCCGCTACGGTTTTAGTGACATCTTTGGCGACTACTCAATGGTGACACTGGACATTATCGATAGACCCTCTCTCGACAAAGAGCCTTCTTGGAGTTCGTGTTCAAATGTTTTCGTGGCGGATAAAGCGGGACGTGTGGATACAATAGACAGGTGAGAAACAACTTATTTACGGGTTTTCTTGGTCATGTAGGACGCAAGCAAAGTGCTGCAGTTGGTATTTTTTTTCTCTTTAAGTCTCGTGATAAAATGGAATCGTGTTCTTTGTCGTTGTCCGCGTGCTGTGGCGTTGCCATTTGTAAATGTGCGTGGTATAGGTTGTTGACACATGACGTCAATTCGCCATTTTGTTGTTAGTTTGCATTTTCAAACAACTATATTACATTGAGGGAGTACATCGTAACAGGTTGAAATGATGTCAGCGGTGCTCTATGCATATGAGAGGGCATGTTAATCTTGGGATGCTCGAGTTTAGCACACACCAGACAGCTCACAAAAACAAAATGGTGGACGAAATTACGTCAGTGAAAACACCCTATACTTCGTTTCACATTATCTCCGAGCGAAGCCAAAGCTAGAAGCCCGAGACCAGCGCTTTTTGCGTTTCTCCCCAGCTCGCGCGCTCGAGCAAAGCCTGAACGCACGGAACTTTCGCGCTCGCGCTTCCAGCTTTGCCTTCGCTCGCACATAAGGTGAAACGAAGTATAGCATTCTACTTTTTATTAGAGGTGAATAACAAGTCTGTGATTATTGAAAGTGCGTTCTTGGTGCTTGTGTGTGTATTTATGATAATCTTACTTTATTGCCGTTACCGCGTTTGTACTAGGATCTTAACTGTATTCAGGTTACGTTATTATTGTATACAAAATGATTTATATGTTGTTCTAAGGCAGCTCAAGCCCATAGGGAGAAGTAAATTAGTTGAATAAATAGTAAATTTAGTACCCCTGCCACACGAAAAGTTAACATATTCTCATTATTTGATATGGGATTTAATCAGTTCGCGGTCTTGAGTGACCATACGAGCGCCGGAAGCTGATTTGTCGACCCCATAATATTATGCGATCGAAATACATTACTTTTGCCATGTGGCCGGGGTATAATGCAAGAATTCAGTGACTGCACTCGATAACGCTCGCTTACATTATCGTAAGTGACACTTGTCTAGCCGTGTCCGCCTTGATTACCTCTACCTGATTTTTAACTGTGATCTGTTTTGCTGAGTCCAATCACTGCGTGTCTCGCCATTTTGTCGAAGTATTTCTGTATAAAACATGCGTTCCTACAGCAATAATCGCGACTCAATGTTTTCGACTTAAAACAATCACATTTTTTATAGACGTCTTATACGCATACCTCGTCCCATTTCGTACCGATTATTTAGCGGTGTAATGTATTGCCCGTGTAATAAAATGTTTTCTAGACCCGTTTTTATATACACCATTCATTTTAGCTAATAAGACACGCGTATGTGACGAAAAGCGCGTTACGACGGTCGGTCCACGCGCGTTGCCTTCGCTTCGACGGGCGCCCCCAATGGCCTTCCTTCGCGACGTCACGAGAAGAGCGCTACGGTCTTATTTCTAGAAGGTGTTGGCTGTTGGGTTTATGTTTGTATGTGCCGTGTATGCGTATGCGCTCAGTTGATGCTTGTGGTATGTGTAATGTATCTACATGTGTGTATAATAAAGGTGCCAAAAAAGCCCGAAGCGTAATGATGGCGTGAGCAAATAAAATATTTTGTAGCACATAAATTGGGCGGTATCGATAGTCCGTTTCAACTCGAGAAGGTACGGCGAGGGTAAGACAGGCCGGGGGGGAGGAAGCAGACGGAACGCTAAAGAGAGAAGAGGGTTTCCCCCTCTCTTCTCCAGCGTTCCGTCTGCTTCCTCCTTTCCGGCCTTCTTACCCTTGCCCAACCATCTTGAGGCGCCGAGGCTCCAAGTACTCTGTAGGTTTACGTGCAATATATGGTGGGTGCTGGACGACACTGCCAGTACAAAATTTGAAATTCTCGACCCCCGGCTGATACTCAGCCGACGCTCTAAGTACTCCACAGATTTACGCGCGATATCGAGCTGGTGCTCGGACGACACGCCAGGTCGATTGTCATACGCGATGCCCGGTCGATACTCAGCCGACGCTTTAAGTACTCTCTGGATGTTGGGGAGGAGGACAGACCGTGACGCCACAAGCGGTTAACCTAACAACTACACGGATGGGGACAACAAATACAATGACGCAGCATTCGGCCGACATAACCGAACGCGGCGTCAGCGTTAGGCTGGAGTTAATGTTCTCCGGCGAGGGGGAGGAGGGGCTCTTTTGTTTCCACTCGGCCTGCATGAACAATGCAGCGTGCATGATCCCAGCTAAGTTAGAAGCCAATTCATGCGATTACTTCAAACGGCCACGAATTCCTTTGACTCACGCAGCAGAGTTTCTCTATTTTTCATAGGAGAATATTGGCTGCAGCTAAACCAAGGTAGCCATTTTATGCAACGAATATATGCGGGCCACTTTGAAATATACTAATTTGTGGCAGGCCTGACTCGCAATAAAAGCAGAGATCAAAATAAAATTGTAGCTCTGACAACTTGTTTTTCTTTTCTTCATAGATATATCACATCAGGTGACATAGTTCGAGCTCTGATGCATAATTTGTATTTTATTTGTATAAACATTGCGTCAAACAGGTGCGATCGACCACACTAGTTTAAGGAACTATCACAGATGTTATTTCAAGCGCCTAAGTTCCGTCGTGCATGGACTAACGACCCCTTATCCTGAATGATGATTCCCCTTATCTGGGACACGCACCGCGTGAAGCCTGTGTACTGGAATGCTCTCCGTTTGATACGGGATAACTTTCGCTAGCGATGCTATCACTCAACCTCTTTGGCAGGCAAATGAAACTTTGCTTCTTAGAAATTAATCGTCACCGCTCAAAAGACTCGGGCGCGGTGCGAGTTCAACAAACCCTCTCACTTGTGGTAGGCGACGGGACCCGAGACTGGATGTAACGTTTTGTCACTGACGACCAATAAATTACCAGCTCGTGCAGTTCAGAAACGTCAAAAGTTACAACTGTGCGCGTAACTAGGCCGCCTCAATACACACACATTTTTTTTTCTAATTGTACAGTTAGGAGTCGAGTTAAAGGTGGATAACCTCTAGGTTGAGAAGACTATGAAATGATGACCAGACGAAATGTTATCGCAATACTTCGACCAGGAAAGAACCTGCAAACAAGCTCTGACATCAGCATCCTTAGGTAAGACGATTGCTTAAGACGTGATGACTCCGTTAACTGACACGTCTTGTGTTGCACGGAGTTGACTCTAGGATTATGCTTTTTGTCATACTTCTTTCTCTCGTGAAAGATAAAAAAGTTCTTAACTAATATTATTTTTCGCTATCAACTATGAAATGATGGTCCAACGTCAAAGCTAAGTTCAATGATACTCTCAGCTGAAATTGCATGATGGTGCGGAAGCATGCATTACAGTTTCGCATATTTACTTTGGACCCGTATTAAGAGTTTTTTTTTCAACTATATTTTGTTTTACAATTTGTGAAATAAAAAGAAATTGACACAACATTATAATTTATTAGAATAGTTCGTATGCTTTAATTTTTTGTAACTTTTTTCTAGATTATTCTGCAATTATATTGTCATTGAAACACGTTGCGCAAGAGGATGCAGAGCACATTGTTGCAAAACGTTGTGCAAGAGAAAAAAACGACAAAAAAACAGTTGAATAACAGGTTTAGTTTTGTTTTCTTTAATGCCATTTTCTAAGGCACACCACTACCCAGATATTTGTTGTTTGGAACCCATTTTCAAAAAAAGCAGTGTACTTTACTAGTTGTCTAGAAACTTTCCAAATCAAACACAAGTTGTAAGAGAAACATTTGTGTAAACAAATTCTTGCGTCTTTATCAGCAAAAAACAAAACATGTCAGAAATGGTTTCACAGATTTTTATAGTTTTGTGAGAGGAAGGATCCAAGAGCAACGTTCTTGAAGACTACAAGAAAGTTTAAGATCAGAATGAAAAATTTTTTATATAGCACGCTAAAATAGCAAAATGAATAATCTATTTGGTATCACGTGAATGGTTAGCAACAATGACCGTCTTGTTTTCGTTTTTGTTTTTAGATTTTCCTTTATTTTGAAAATGAAATTCGGTGCCTGCGTCCTGTCTTTCGCTCTGGCTATGCTCGTGGGTAAGATCCTTTTTTTCCCTTCATTGCGGATAAAAATTCTGCTCCATAAGGAGTCTATACCTGAATGTATTGAAAATCGTACGTACTGAAACATTATTTTCGGAAGCCGAAAAGTACCAAGGAACTGCTGCCGCAGAAACTTATATTATAACATAAAAACTCCATTCCCTTCTCGAATTTCTTATAATTAAAAGCTAGTAGGACAATCACAACTTAAGTATAAACAGCCTGACGATAAAGTGAAATGGTAAATCAGATATCTCTGAAATTAATTGGAGCCCAATATACAACTGCGAGGATGTTAATTTCGCGTATAATACATTTTTGGGGAAGTTACAACTATCTATAATCGTCATTTTCTTCGGAAAACCTTGAAAATGTCTAAAACGACCTACAAGCCATGGATAACGCCTAAATTGTTGAAAAAAAAATGCGGAAAAAAAAATATGCCTTTACCAAAAATGTAGCATGCATGATCCCAGCTCAGCACAAAAGCCGAAGTGGGTCAAGCTCGCATTCTCTGAGGATAGATCCGGCACTTAACGTCGCTTCGTCGATTGTTAGTATTTTTTTCATTAAACTGCGCCCCGCGCTCTGTAGGAGATGACATGGCCATGCCCATAAGGCCTTTCGGCATGTGCACAGGCCTTGTGTTGAATAAACACCAAGCGTGGGGAAAACAAACGGGTCAGAGCGCCCCCTATAGTTCGATCTCCTGCCCAATACCGGCGATGTCGGGCGGGTACTCCGACGACTCGAATGGCATTGGATTGACACACGATGTCCGGCGTGCACTCAGCCGACGCTGCTAGTACTTTATAGATATACTCGGCGTCCGGCGGGTACTCAGCCTGACGGTGGGGGTACTCCAGTGATATGCTGCTGGCACTGCCCCGCTTTTGAAACGATATTTTCTAGACATCGTGTGGATGGGAAGAATCGTATATTCGGAGTGTTTGCCAACAATATTGTGTAGATACTCGCATAATATCCTTGTGCCGCTTGGGTAACCTCCCTGGCATCCATCGCCAGTTCGACGCCACCCTTCTGGGTACGAAGTACTTCTCGAGTGAACTCAAAACCACAGGACGACTTGCGTGTCAGGAAGCACGGTATTTATTCCTGTTCCCTATCGCTGTTCACCCATGTCTTCTCAATCTCCATTAAAATGTGGAAAATGCCACGAGAAGATTGTCAGCGATGGCCGCCATATGTTCTGCGCCGACTTCAAAAGGTCGCTTCACCTGGGGAAGATGTGTTCCGGTGTGGCGGAAAGCACCTTCAAAATCATGGGTGCTGGTAAAAGGGAGATCTGGCGCTGCCGTCTTTGCCGACAACAAAATAGTGGGGCTGATTTCCAAATGGTGTCACAGTGTGAATCATCCTTGACTGGTAACCAATTTCGATCACTTCAATCTAGGATAAAATGTCTAAACTTACTCAAGACAAATATTGAGTCCCTCCTTGATCTACCTTCCAAGATCGATCAACTCTTGACCTTAAAGCCCGGTAGTGGAGAACCTCACATCCACCGTAACGGAGGTTCAGAAGTTCATTCTTTATTCTTTATTCAGAGATTACCCCCCAGCGCCCGAGGGCGTTACAGCAAGGGGGTTACAATGCTGAAAAAAAACACATCTTCATTTTCACTGCACACTTGCAGCTCCGACAGCCCATTCCACTCCATTGACTTTCTATCAGACAGGTATGACTCCCTACTATGGACAGCCACCACCAACTCCGCCTCAATAACATAGCTCAGCACTGAAATTACATCTTTATGAACAGCAATAGCGGAGCAGTCTAAAACCATTCAGCACCTCCAAGAGGAACTCAAGGACAGCTAACAGTTCAGTCGTCTCTCCAACATAGAGACTCACGGGCTGCCTCATTCCGCAAACTAAAAACTTCCTGTTGTTGTAGGCGAGCTAGCCAGTCAACTTGGCCTTCCTGACTTCCACCCAAGAGACATTCTAACAGTGCACCGTATACCATCTCGGCGGGACGTCCCTCCGCCTACACTGATTAGATTTTCTTCGATGACAGTCCAAGAGCAATGGCTCACCGCAAGAGGAAAGCTGCGGACTCTTGTAGCCAACGGGTCACTGCCAAAACTGTTCGTCAACGAAAACCTAACCGGAAAGAACAAGGAACTGTTTTGGAGGGTACGTGAGAGAGCAAAGGCAAAGCTGGTACAAGTTCACAAGGGTCAAGAACGGTAAGCTGTTCACAAAGAAGACCGAATCCTATCCAGTTGTCCGTATCCGTCGGCTGGACGACCTAGAGAAGATTGTTTAATCTTTCTTTTTGCTAAACGGTTCTGCTAACATGAAAACGACTTAGAATAATGGAAGTACAGTTTTGTCGGTGCTCGGATTTTTCGTCCCTTCAAGACTTCTTGCACCCAGCGAGTGATAGCGCTCTTGGTGTCTTAAAGGGGTATCCACACGAAGGAGGAATCCGCCCCTTTCCTCCGCGGAGCGCGCATCACGTGAGACATACGTCATCCCTTTCTGACGCCTCGCGGCGCGTTCTGCTCCGTGGCGGAGGCGCGGAGGCTTCGTACTGTCAGCACAAAAGCTCCGCAGGTGCACGCGACGGAGCCGGGAACGGAGTTTCCCGGGTTGATGACGTCACGACATCCGTCCGCGGAGTTCTCCTTCGTGTGGATACCCCTTAAGGGGTATCCACACGAAGGAGAAATCCGCCCCTTTCCTCCGCGGACCGCGCATCACGTGAGACATTCGTCATCCCTTTTTGACGCCTCGCGGCGCCGTTCTTCCGTTCTCCTCCGTGGCGGAGGCGCGGAGGCTTCGTGCTGTCAGCACAAAAGCTCCGCAGGTGCACGTGGCGGAGCCGGGGACGGAGTTCCCCGAGTTGTTGACGTCACGACATCCGTCCGCGGAGTTCTCCTTCGTGTGGATACCCCTTAAAGGGGTATCCACACGAAGGAGAAATCCGCTCCTTTCCTCCGGGGAGCGCGCATCACGTGAAACATACGTCATCCCTTTTTGACGCCTCGTGGCGCCGTTCTCTCGTTCTCCTCCGTGGCGGAGGCGCGGAGGCTTCGTACTCTTGGCATGAGAACTCCGCAAGTGCGCGCGGCGGAGCCGGGGACGGAGTTTCCCGGGTTGTTGACGTCACGAGATCCGTCCGCGGAGTTCTCCTTCGTGTGGATACCCCTTTACATGTGAACATTATGGGGTATCCACACGAAAGAGAAATCCGCCCCTTTCCTCCGCGGAGCGCGCATCACGTGAGACATACGTCATCCCTTTTTGACGCCTCGCGGCGCCGTTTTCTCCGTGGCGGAGGCGCGGAGGCTTCGTGCTGTCAGCACGAAAGCTCCTCAGGTGCACGCGGCGGAGCCGGGGACGGAGTTTCCCGGGTTTTTGACGTCACGACATCCGTCCGCGGAGTTCTCCTTCGTGTGGATACCCCTTTAGGAGTATACGCAAATATTGGGATCAATTTATAGCAACTGTGAATGATAAAATAGAATTTTTCGATATTTTTGTACTAACAGAAATCAATGTTAAAGAGGACTTCTGCAATGAATTCCAGATACCGCGTTCTAAGCCGATCTTTTTAGCACGTACATTTGGACGAGGGGGAGGGATTGCTATATTTGTTAAAGATATCTGGCGTGCTGAAAAACTTGATGTAAATTTTCTTGGTTGCGAGTTACTACCACTGAATGTATCGAATTCTAAGTGGCCGTTGATTTTGCTAGCTTTTCACAGGCCTCCGTTAGGTAATCCTTCGACATTTTTGAACGAGCTCTGAGCTACGCTTAACAATTTTCAATCTATTGATGATATTTTTAATAGGCGACTTTAACATTGACACGCTTAAACCCGCCAAGTCTATTTGTGATTATATTAACCTATTGGCACTATTTGGTATTGACGGTTTAATTCTTGCTCCTACCCGAGAAGAACTTTTAGAGGATCATCTTGTGGCGTCATGCCTTGATCATATTAATGTACGCGCACCGGATATAGTTCCAAAATCAGCAGTAATAGAGCAAAAACTCTCCTACCATTACTTCGTGGCATGTCAACTTATGCCACAACTCAATGTTAAACCACCAAAAGAGACAACAAAAAATAATTGAAATAATTGATTGAACGAAGTTTGATAACTTGGTTAGGGCGAATGATTGGAACATTTTGTTATCTAGTGATAAAGTTGACGACGTTTATAGTAGGTTTAGAGATCAATTTTGAGCCGACAGGATACAAGCAAAAAAGGTCATCACTGTGAGGAGACATCCCAACGAATACGACTGGCTAACTGACGACATTCTGTTAGCAATTAGGTCTAAAAATGCCCTTTGGGCACGATGCCGACGTTCTCCGAAATATTCTCAGTTGAAGACAAAATTCCGCAGTACACGAAATCGTTCAAACGCGCTGATACGTTCGGCAAAAAGAAAATAATTTCAAGATCAATTTTTAAAGCAAGGTCAAGCATATCACATACCTGGTGTTTGGTGAATCAACTATGAGGCAAGGGGATTAATAAATCAATTGATCACACACTCGAGAAAGCATTCGGTCACAATACAACGCAACTGGTTGAGGACTTTAATACGTTCTTCGCTAAATTGTCCAGAGTAGCCCGTGATGACGCTCTGTTTTTGGCCGGGACTCTAGACTCAAATGCTTCCTCGACTTTCCTTCCTCAGATGACGGAGCTTGACGTTAGAACTGCTCTTTTCAGTTTTAAATCAAACAAATTCCCTGGTATAGATGGAATCAATGCAGAAGACCTACGGAGAAATTATGATTTTATAAAGCACGTGCTCCTTCATATGTTAAATGGTTTCATTTCTCATGGGAAAATTCCGGATGATTTGAAGAGTGCCTTAGTAAAGCCTTTATTCAAAGTTGGAGTGCGTAAAAAGCTTAACAATTACCGTCCAATTTCAATTTTACCTTGTATAGTCCAAATTTTGGAAAAACATATCCTCAATACTATGACGTCGTACCTAGATA